CCCCACAAGGACGGGCTGGAGGAGGGCAGGGGAGGCTGAGGGAGCCCTAGATTCCTCCAGCTGCCTGCCATTTTGACCTCTGTTGCTCCTTGCCAGTTTTCCCCAGTGCGCCTAACTCGGAGGCATTTTCTCTTTTCGCTGAGACTCGCTGGCCGTGTGGCCCTAGGTAAGACATACTCGCTCTGAGCCTCAGTCTTCCCGCTTGTGCGAAGAGGCAGTTGGCTCCAGGCCAGATGTGGCATAATCATCACTGGGGCAGGGCCCCACCCCTACAAAAGCAGCCGGGACCAGCCCTGATCCTGTGCCCACCACCAAAATGACTTCCCAGGGGCCAGTACCGTGTGCACTGCCCCATCCAGGAGGGACCATTGGGCATCATGTTAAATTCTAGAGCCCTGGAAGAAGCAAGACCCCACTCTCCCCAACCCCTAGGATAAGACCAGTAGGCTGGGAAAGTTGCTTTATTTGGATTTGATTCAGGGGGTGGGGCTCCCAAAACAAAACACGGTGGCCTCCATGCTCCTAGCCCAGCACCTCATCCTGGCCTTTGGTGGGCAGAGCCATCCTTCCCAGCCTTCTCCAGGAGTCTTCCTCCTCCTCCCGACTGGCCACGTGAGCTGTGGACAGGCCCTCCAGTCCCTGGGGTGGGAGGGAGGGGCCTAAGCTCAGAGTAAACCAAGTAGACAGACTAAGGCACGGCAAGGCCCGCGGAGTCATAAGTGCTCCGCTGGAGGTGGCCTCCGGCGGGGTGAGGCCTGTGGCTCCAGAGAGGGTGGGGACTCCCTGCAGCCACTGACCATCCAGAAGTAGTTTGGGTGCACCTGGCCCTGCACAGCCTCACTGATCATCAGTTCCCCGTCCACAGCAAACACACCCTTCCTGTCCTTGGGTTCCAGGCGGAAAGCAACCACGGGCACGTACACCAAGTGGGGACAGTCACACTCCATGTGCCTGCCTTTCTCCATGGCCAGGAAGAGGCGCAGCAGTGTGGCCCGAGACACACCTGCCCGCACGTAGAACAAATGCATAGCGCCGGCCGCACAGCGGCCCATGGGTGCAGCAAACATCTCACTGCCCAGGTGTGAGTGCAGCAGTGCCAGCACCAGCACGAAGTCCTGCTCCGGCACCACCGTCCAGTGAGAGGGGACTGCCTCCTCCAGGGGCACCAGGTGGGCGTCCACAGGGCCCTGCTGGACCTGCTGGTCCCGAGCGGGACAGGGAGGCATCTTGGAGACCACCGTTTCTACAGGGAGGTAGGCCAGGGAGCCCTGGTAGGTGCGCAGGGCCGCCAGGCGCAGAAAGGTGCCCAGAGTGAAGCGCATCTCACCCAGGCGCCGAAACTTCTCACTCTCCAGATCCACGTCAGCGATGAAACCCCAAGCCAGGCTGAGCACGGAGAAGAGGCGCTGCCCGGAGGCTGTCTGCAGGGACAGCAGATCCATGGGCGCCAGCAGTCGGCGGCACAGCAGCCGGGTGCAGTTGTTCAGGAGGTCTTCATTAGTCACCTGCTCGTAGCTGCAGAGGGAGAAGTCAGATGGGGAGGGCAGGAGCCCTCACACGTCCTCCCCTTCCTCCTCCTGGGGAGCTGGGGCGGGCGAAGTGACACTGAGTCCCTAGGGAGTTGGCAGGAGTGACAGATGGAGCAGGTGGAGGCAGCAGCTGGAGTCACGGAGAGGGCCCCAGACGGAGGGGCCGAGGCTCCAGAGAAGAGGGCATGGAAGTTACCCCTGAGCATGGTAACTTGCAAAAGAAAGCCTGGCAGTAGGGCGGCACTAAGGGGAAACTGAGGGCCACTGTGGCCCTGGGCTCTCACCCGGCATAATGGTTCACAGAAGCGGCCAGTGCATTGCCAGAGCCGGCTGGGAGGCTACACAGGGGCTTCTGGATGGCGGTCTCCCAGTCAGGCCGCTCCATGAGCCCGTTCACCACCTGTTGGAGCGCAGGTGCTCTCAGCCTGGGAAGCACCCCACCCCCACGACCCAGGCCCAGCCTCCCGGTGCGGGCCTCACCTCATGCATCAGCCCGTCTCCAGACATGACCACCAGCGCGTCCCAATGTCTCAGGTCCTCCGCCCGCACCAGCTCCCGGGCGTGGTTCCGCCGCTCTGCGGAGAGACCAGCGCGGCTATCACGGCAGGGGCTGGGGTGGGGGGTGGGGGGGGTCCGTGTCTGGGGATGCTTCCTGCATCCCCGCGGGGAGACACTCACCAGTGAGCGTCAGCGTGAAGGAGACATCGGCCTGGGCCAGCAGGGGCTGCACGTGGCTCCGGAAGAGCTGCAGGGCTTTGCCCTTGCCCCCGCGCGGATTTAACAGCACCAGCACTCGGCAGGGCCTTGGGAGCGGGTTCCGGGAGCCTCCCGCTGTAAAGACAAACCCGAACCGGCCACTAGGGGGCTGACGATCACAGCAGGGGGACTGGGGTGGAAACGCTGTGCCTGAAACCCACGGGTAACTGATCCAACAGAGTCTGACCGGAGGCAGCGGCCTCGAGCGGTGGGGAGCTCCAGCGGCAGCCCCGCGCTCCTCACCCGGCCAGCTTGGCTTGGCTCAGGCTCGGCCCGCTTCCGGTCTCGTCGGGAAAAGTGATTCTCTCCGGCGTCCCCAGCCTCTTTTGTTCAGCTGACTCAGGCCAACCTTCCTCTCGAGAGAGAGAAGGGATCCCCCTACAGGCCTTCCCCGCCAGGCCCCCACAAACCTGCATCCATAACCTCGACCCGTGGCCCCCGCTGCCAGGGGGTCCCCGGCGCTGTCGGGGCGCTGTCCGCGGCGGCGGCTCCTGCCTTCAGCTCCTTATCGGTGCTGCCCAGGCGGGCGTCTCGGTGCCGGCTGTGGGGCTCGCCCTCCCCGCCCGGAGCCGGGGCTGTAGGGGCACCCGCGTCATTCCCTGCGGTTGCCGGATCTGGGGGAGAGGAGACACCGCTGGTGGAGTCCGCAGCGGCCCCCTGAGGTGGGGGGCGCCCTGCTAGGTCCTGGGGCCACGCGCGGGGAGCCGCGCCTCCGGCATCGCCTCGTTTTCCGAGAGGTCCTGAGAGCCGAGGTCCAGTGCCACCAAGGGCGCTCCCGTCCTAGAACTGATCTCCCACCCCCAGAGGCAAAGGGTCTCGTCCTGAGGGGCTTTCTTTCCTGGGGCCTCGGGTTCCGACCCGACGATGAGTCAGAGCCCCGTGACTCTCTCCGGGGGATCAGGTCCTCACCCCCTGGGCGCTGCCAGGAGGAGGGGAGTCCAGTTGCGTGAAAATCCCAGAACGTGAGTGGACATCGCAGGGCGCGAAGTTCGGGGCGAGCGATCCCCGCCCCGAAACAGCCGGGTCGCCGTGTCCTCTACCCTGAGCTCCGGAGCGGCCGGAGTCGCCGCGCGCGCCTCTAAGGACCGGGCTCTGCGGCGCCGCGCGCAGCGCTCGTGGGAGCAGCGCCGGAGTCGCGCAAGAGCTGAGCCGGAGCCCGGCCGCCAGCCGCCGCCTCCCTCGACCGCAGCCGAGTGGGCGCGGAGGCCATGCGGTGCACGGCAGTTCCCCCGACCGCCCAGAAGCCACGCACGGCGAGAGGACAGGGCGGGCGGCCAGCCCTACCCAGTCGGTCCGCTTTGCTGGGGAAGCGCCACCTCCGTTCCCCGCAGTGGCCTAGGGCTGAACGCAGCTCGTCCCGGGCTCAGCCTCGCATCTGAGGGACAACTGGAGCGCCGGGCAAATGCTGACTGCACGGCCTCGCTGTCTCCAGCCTCAAACTTTTGTCTCAACTTCGGGGAGGGACCTGTGCCTCGCCCCCGGGCCTGGCCACGCCCCGCGCTCCCTGCGTTTGCGGGGGAGGACCCCGCGCCCTGCATAGCTGGAGCCCGCCTGTCCCCGGCCTCACCGCGCCGCCCCCCGCACGGTCAGCGCCCACGGCTCGGCCACGCGCAGCCCTTTGCCTGGGTCCCGGGACGCTGGGAGTAGGCGACCGGCGGAAGGCGGCGCCGCCGCCCGGCAGGAGAGGCGGAGGCCGTTGGCGAGGCGCGGAGACCCAGGCCCGGCCACGAGCGGCGCGCCGCGAGCGCGGCGTCCCGGGCGCGCGACGGTGAACGCGCAGCGCAGGCCGAGGCGCGGGCCTCACGCGATCTCGCCTCGGCGCCCAAAGTCGGAGCGGCCCCCGGGTGGGACTCCGGGCACGCGTGGCTCAGGGCTCCGGGCAGACCCTCGGCTGTCCCTGGACGCCGCGACCTTCCGCCCCGAAGTCTCCTGGCAGAACTGGCCCCGCTGCCGGCTCCGGGCAAGCAGCGCCCGCTTCACGCGCTCCGCCCCATCCCACCCGGATTTCGAGGCCCAGACCCCGCCGGGTGCCCCCCGCTCCGTGCCGGGGCGTCTCTCCAGCCGCCCCAGTTCTCCCCCAGAGAGTTATTTTTAGCCTCCCGACCAGGCAGCTCTGCAGCGAAGCCACCGAGCCTGAGGCAGCCAGGCGAGCGGTCCCGGGGAAGGCTGGCGACCTGCGCGGGGGGATGCGGTCCAGAGGAGGGATCCTTGTCAAGAACCTCAAAAGTTGGATCTTTTTCACAGAGGACAACATCGAGGCTCGCCTAGGCCAGAGAAGCTGCTCCGCAGCGGGCGATCCAGGCCCACGCACCCGAGAGGAGCTTGGCGGTGTAAACAGGCCTAGGGGTCCCCATCCGCATTGGGCAGCCAAGCATCGGGGGCGTGTCCTCCGCCGCCTCCACTGGCTCAGTGGGAAGATGCAAACGGGCCCGGGACTCGTGTATCGGTGCTTGTGTGATAAACATATCACCGGCAAGTAAGTGTCTGACCTGAACTTGTCCGCGACCAACTCGAGTAAACTCCCTGGGGGGTTGTTGGCGGCGACCCAGAGGAGGAAGTTACCAAGGCGGACTTGGCGACCTGACCAGGTAGGGCCAAAGTTAGGAAAAACCAAACCGCTGTAGGAGGCTGAGGTGGCACAGGCCCAGGCTGCAACGTGCTCACGCGCCCACACCTGCCCCCACCGACACCCGCTCACAACTCTCTCTTCCCATCGCCTCAAGTCGAGAAGAGGCAGGTCTCTGCGGCCCCGGTAACTCGGGCGCGCCTCCGCCGCATCTCCTCTTACAGAGGACCCAGGCGGCCCGGCCCCGTTTCCCAACACCTGGGAGGGGAAGAGGGCGGGGCCCAAGTGTCCTCACGTAGAGAGGAGGCCGCAGGCTGGGACGCGTTGGCCTGGCACGCGTCCGGGTGGTGGCCACCTCCGTCCTGCGTGGCCCCCGGGCAGCCCTGGCTGGGTCCTGAGCGTCCCGAGCGTGTTCCGGGAAGGTGACTCAGCGACGCTTTCACGGGTCGAGAAACTATGCGAAACTAGGAACCGGGAGAAGAAGCGGGGGCGGGGCGGCATCGCCCTCTCGCAGGGCCGCGGCGGGTGTCCGCTGAGGTCTGATCTTGAACCTACAGGCCCCCACCCGCAACACCCAGGAATCCGGCGCCAGGAGGGGAGCGCGGCGCTGCGGCCGCAGTGCTGCGGTCACGCGACGCGGAGACTCAAGCGCCTGCGGGAGGAGGGGGCTCCTTGCGGGAGCCGGGGCTCGATCCCTCTCCTCCCCCTTCGCCTGCCTTCTCCTCCTGCCAGGACTCCGGTCAAAGTCGGGGCTTTGGCGCCTAGAAGACGCGGGACGCGGGCGGGGTGCTCCCCGAGATCTCAGTCTTGGAGGGAGGGTGCTGCGGAGACCGACAGGGTAGCCTCCCCCTTCTCCCCCGCTCGGGAGGGCACTTCCATCAGTCCTGAAAAGCCGCTGCCTTAAACCTTGGAGTCTGGTGGGAAACTGAGGCCCTCGGGAAAGGAAGACCTGGCTGTGCACGAGTCCGCAGGGAGAAAGCCCACCTGCCACTGGGTCCCTCCGCCTCCCAGCGTCCCGGGCTGGAGCCCTTGGGGTCGTGGGGCAGGACGGGGGCGGGGTTGACTGGAAACAGAGCGACGAGGGAGGCGGAGCAGCCTGCTGGGTTCATTATCCGGCCTTCGGGGGCCCAGCGGGAGGGAGGTGAAGGGCCGAGCCCTCTGGCCCCGGTTCCAGTCTGCACAATGGCTGCTCTGTCCTCCCCGCGGCCTCGCCCCCGCCCCCACCCCCACGGTCCCTGCTCTGCCCTCCTCATTCTTGTCCGTCACCTCCCCCCTCCAGGCTGCCTCCCTCCAGGCCCACGCCGCCCTCCAGCCCCTCTCTAAAGAGCTTTATTTCATCTCCAGAAACACTCGTCAGCATCCCTGGCCCAAGAGACAAGATTGAGCAAAAGCAAGATGCTTTGCCCCTTTGATAATGGGGAACTGAAACCCTGAGAGGTGAAGGGTCTCGCCTAAGCCACTGAACCAGTTCCCGACAGAGCTGAGAAGCAAACACAGGCCCCAACCCCCAGGCTGAGAGGCCCAGCTGACCCCAGGCTTCTAGCTGATATCTGAGTATCTGTCGGCCGGGTGGGTTGCTTGCCACAGAGCTGCCCCAGTAACCCAGCTGCTGGGTCTCCCTGGGAAAGAGGAAGCAACCCGAAGCCCTCTCCAGGCTTCATCATCCAGGTTCTGGTTAAGCAACTACCTGCTGTGGCCAAGGGCCTCTGGAGTCAGGCTTGATCTGTGCTGATCGCCAACCCGCAGGTAACACCTGTCTCCCAGGTGAAAGAGACTGCCTTTCCATCTCCCCCAGCCACCCTCCTTCCTGCTTGAGGGCAGCCTTCCCAGGTGGACACACCTGAGAACCCCCTTTTTTTTTCTTCTTCAGAGAAAGAAAGCAGGCATTCACGGGGCCTGGCCCGGCTCTCTGGAAACTTGGAGCCAAGGCCGCCAGATGGCAAATGACTTGCTTTTATTAGGAGAGGCTTCCTGCCATCTCACCTGTTCCTGAGGTTTTCAGCTCCCAAGTTGAACTGGAGGACCTCGAGGCCTCCCTTGACCTCAAGTCCTTTCTGCCTGGGAGGCTGCAAGGGCAGGGGAAGGGAGGTATCCAGCCCTGCAAACTGTGTTGTTGTTGTTTTTTTAATGTATTTTTTTGTTTGTTTGGTTTTGGTTGTTGTTGTTTTAGCCGCGCCGCGCGGCATGTGGGATCTTAGCCCCCCGACCAGGGATCGAACCCCTGTCCCCTGCTTTGGAAGCGTGGGGTCTTAACCACCGGACCGCAGTTTGCAGGGATGTCCTGCAAACTGTTTTTAAGACTTGTGTTCTGGGACAGCCCCAGATGTGGTTTTCCATTCTGAGATCCTGGTGACCGTGCCAGGCATTGAGGAGTGTGCCACACATGGATATCCAGGAGAGCAGACTGGTTACACAAGATTCTTGGCTGCTTGCAGGGAATGTTACGAGTTTCTGTCCCTGCGGCGGTTCAGCCACCCTGGGTGTGGTGGAGTGAGCCTAACTCTACCTCTTGCGTGGCCTACTTCTCCTCACGGGTGTCCTCGCCAGGGCTGGGAACCAAAGTCTCTTCTGGGCCTCTGGGCTCTGCCTGCCACACACCCCCACCTGTAGGCCTGCTGAGAGGGACACATCCCTTTCAGGGGAATTCGCGGGCACAGCCCTCCCCGTGGAAGCCTGCGAGCCTCACCCACTTCACTCATGTCAGATGCTTGCCCGGCATCTGAAGGCATTTGTATTAGTTTCCTGGGATCATCACAACAAGGTACCACAAACTGGGTGGCTTAACAGCAATTTACTGTGTCACTGTTCTCAAGAAATCCAAGATTAAGATGTTGGTAGGGTCGGTTCCTTTGGAGGGCTGTGAGGGGGAGTCTGTCCCAGGCTGCTCTCCTAGCTTCTGGTGGTTGGCTGGCAAACTTTGGTGTTCCTTGACCTGTACATGCATCACCCAGACTCTGCCCTCATCGTCACACGGCCCTCTTCCCTTGTGAAAGATCTGGCTGAGATGTGTTCTTTCAGGGTCTGCCTTCTCTTCTGTCGGACATGTTCTTTTTCGAAAGCAAATTACTCTGGGAGGGAAAACCAATAAGTTATCAGGACTCTAGTGTGAATGGAGGTATCCATTTTAAACTAAAAAAATCTAACAATACTAGGTGTCCCCAAAGAGGACAACAGTGCACGCTCGTGTGGGTGTCGCAGGAAAGGTGTCTGGGAGCTGGACCCGCCCGCCTCCGCTGTTGGGAGGAATTGTTTATATCTGCGCTGGCTGCCGGGTGGCTTTGCCCAGGCTTGCACACTGCCCCGGCTACCTTGACTTTCAGATCTTACCTCACACCTTGGCTTATGGCATCTCTGGCATCCTGAGCAGGTGCGTTTATTCCCCAGGCCTCGGAAGAACAAAGCTGAGTTTCGTGTTAGTGCACCGGGTTCCTGTTGCTGCACCACTTGACTATCCTGCAGTACTGAAGGTCAGAAGTTTCAAACGGATTGACAGGGCTGTGCTGTCTTCCTGCTCTAGCTTCTAGAGACCTGCATTCCTCGGCTCAGGACCCCCTCCTTCACCTCTGAAGGCGGTAGCACAGCATCTTCAGGTCTCTGTCTGACTTCTGCTTCTGCTGTCACATCTCTGACTTTGACCTTTCTCCCTCCCTCTTACAGGGTCTCCTGTCTGTGATGACATTGGCCCCACCTGGCTAACCCAGGATCATCTCCCCATTCAAGAGCCGTAACTTAATAGCGTCTGCAAAATCCCTTTTGCCATATAAGGTGACATATTCATGGGTCCCAAGGATTATGACGCAGCCGTCTTTGGGGGGGCTGTTATTTTGCTAACCACAGCTGGGTAGGAAAAGTCTGGGAACCGTGTCCTTACTTGGCTACAGAGCCTTCGTTCTAGCATTCCTTACCTCCCCAGTGCTACCAACTGAACACATACCAGGAACTTAGTTTCCCCCAGATAAGCATTTGTCATGGTGGGACCGAAAACACTCTTGCTGAGGTCATCGACACCTGATTCTGTAGACTTTTTGGTCTTTGACTCATCCGGCAGAGGCCCCTGCAAAGAAAGCTGGTTTCCATTTTTTTAAATTACCCAGGAGGGAAAAAACAAATTACCCAAAAGAGAGAAATTGACATCTTCACTAAATATAGTAATTATAGGTTTGCAAAGGACTTTTCACCTGAGGAAGGGGTGGGGAGCAGACCAGCCCATCCATTTCCAGCCTGGCAGGAAGGGCTTACCACAGGGCGCAGCCTGCTGGGTATTACACAAAATGTGCGGTCCACTCAGCTCCTGTCATGTGACCCGACGGTCCAGCTGCTTCTGTCCTCTGTGGTAAGTCTGGACCAGGCCAGCCACATGGAGAACCGTGGCTAGGAACCTTCCACAGGCTCCCGCTGACATCAGCTCTGGTTTGGGCCCAGCATGGGCTCTGGCCTGGTCTCCAGCGCCCTATCCCCCATCCTGGATACTTGTGAGGGGAGAGATGATCCCCTTCTGAGGCTGCAGCCAGTCCCCACCCCACCCAACTGTGCTTTGTAATCACTTACTCGTTTATACTGGCTTATACTGGTTCGGAGACACTGTGTAACTGGTGAACGTTCTCATTCAAGGGAAGAGAAGCCGTCAGCCACGAGTCAAACTGCTTTGGGTGATTCCCAAAAGGAGAACTTCTGGGAAGCGGGAAGAGGGGCCTGGCCCCTCTACAGTCGGTCGGGCAGCAGGAGAGCCGAGCCGCTTTTATCTGGGAGTAGCCTGGCGTCCAGGCCGAGGGGATGGGTGTGTCACAGCTTTCCGGGGGCTTTTTGTTGTGCAATGTTTTCCACTTTCACATCTCTCTGAAGCTAAGCTATGTCCTTGGGTTGTTCCCAAAGCAAACAGACAGCGGGCTGGACACAGTGCGTTAGCGCTAATGGTCTAGGGTGGTTTCCTGGTACCTGCGGATGGATCCCTTCCTCCGAGCAAAGGTGAAGTCCTAGCTCACCCCCTCCGGAGATGCTCACTCTGCCTTGGGAACGCCCTTTCGAGGCGCCCTGCTGGCCCCTGGTGGCCACCTGGGGATGCGTCCCTCTCTCGTCTTTTATCCAAACGGTGCAGCCACTCAGGCCTCCTCCACAGAAGCCAATTTGTTGGAGGCAAAAGAGGGGCCGGCGCGCTTCTTTGCCAAGCTGCAAAGCGAGGGAGGCTGGAGTGGGCTTGCCTGCCTGAGGCTTATTATCCACACCCTGAGAATAGAAATTCCCCTTTCCTGGAGGCTGGCCTCCTGAAGGTCAAACCCTTCGATTCTGTCCAGACACAACCTTGGTAGTTTAAGTAATGCGTATACAGGATGGGCTGGACAGGGGTCTAGGAGAGGGGCCCGGGGCAAGGGACACCGTAACCTCATTCCACACGTGTGCCCCCAAGGCTTTGTGCAGCCAAGGGAGTGGTGCTGTGCTGATCCGACAGGAGAACCATTTCCAAAAGCGGCTCGTTGTTCTTTTTGCTCATTGCCCAAAAGCGCTGACCACAGCAACGTGACCGGCATCTTGAAAATGAGTTGAGATGTCATTTCTCCTTCAAGAGGCTGATCCTAGCAGCCTCCTCTGAAACTCCCCGTTTCAAAACAGAATGGGGAACCTAGTGATTACCTGTCAAAGCTTACAGACTAAGGAGTGAAATTATTTTTAAAAAACAAACAAAAGATGGAATGGGCTTGGAGAGCGCTCCTGAAATGTGAGGAGCATATAGGTGGGGGCTGAAGAACATATCCTTTCTTTGCTCTTGCTGTCTCCTTCCTAGAGCTGCAGTCGTTGCGGTTCTGTACACAGAAGTCCTCGAGAGAAATGCTTGTGGGCTGCTCTCCCAACCGCATCCCTCTGGCGGATCCAGGGGAGGGAGCCCTATCCGGGTGCCAGGTGGCTGCTGCAGTGATGCAGAGCCCAGGAAGGGTACAGTCCAACACCCCACCTCCTCCTGGCTCCGCGCAGCAGGCTGATGGGTCCGGGGAGGGAGGGACAGACAGACAGCTCTGATGCAGAGTTAGAAGGACAAATCCATCTTCCTGACTCGGCCTGACCTAGAAAAATCCATAGCATCAGAACTTGGTATTTGCAAACAAGCACAAGGATCCTATCTTTTTTTTTTTTTTTTTAAGGATCCTATCATTTTAAGCTGAGGTTCCAGTTGCCATGTGACAAGTATCTGTGACCACTCGGTTCTCTGACTGAGAACTTTGAACACTTAAGGAGGGAAGACAGTCTAACTGCAAAATATGTTTAGCGTGGAATCGGATCTGCCGCCTTCATCTCTTGGCAGGGGTAAGTGTTATCCTAAGGGGAGAGGTGTGTTGAGTCCTCAGGGGTGGATCTGTTACCCCGATTTGCAGCCATTAGTGGTGCAGGAGCCACACAGACTGGGGAGAGGCTGAGTGGCGGCCCGGAGACAAGCAAACCCCAGGACACTGAAGACCAGGTCTCTGAGGTCTCAGGCATTTCTGAAATGCTGAGGACCCTGAGTGGAATAGCAGAAGCCTAATTCTAATTCTAAACCAAGACTTGGATATTTGTGTGTACTTAACAATGACTAGCAGGTCGCCCGTGAAGAAATGGTCCTAAGAGATGTGGAAAACAAATCTGGAGTACCCACCAGCACTTGAGAAAAATATCTTAAAAATTTTTTTTATTGAAGTATAGTTGATTTACAATGTTGTATTAGTTTCAGGTGTATAGCAAAGTGATTCAGTTATACATATACCTATATTCTTTTTCAGAGTCTTTTCCATTATAGGTTGTTACAAGATATTGAATATAGTTCCCTGTGCTATACAGTAGGTCTTTGTTTTTCTATTTTGTATATAGTGGTGTGTATCTGTTAATTCCAAATTCCTAACTGAACCTCCTCTCTACCCCCAAGAAAAATATCTTGGTTTTTTTCTTTTTGGCTGAGCCACATGGCTTGTGGGATCCCGAGCCCTCGGCAGTGAAAGCGTGGAGTCCTAAGCACTGAACCGTCAGGGAATTCCTGAAAAATATCTTTTAGAAAGGAGAGCCTTGGGACTTCCCTGGCAATCCAGTGGTTAAAGACTCTGAGCTTCCACTGCAGGGGGTGCGGGATCTATCCCTGGTTGGGGAGCTAAGATCCCGCATGCCACGTGGCGGGGCCCAAAAAAGGAGAGACGCAAGGTTCCTCAAAAAGTTAAACATAGAGTTACTGCATGACCCAGCAATTTCACTCCTGGGTACTTACCCAAGAGAACTGAGAACATGTGTCCACACAAAAAGTTGTACTCGAATGTTCATAGCAGCTCTAGAACATTATGTGAAAGAAGTGACAGAAGCCGTATACAAAAGGCCACATATTGTGTGATTCCATGTAAATGAAACGTCCAGAATAGGTAAATCCATAAAGACAGAAAGCAGACTGGTGGTTGGCCGGGATATGGGGAGACACTGCTTAATGGATATGGGTTGTGTTTTGGGTGATTTTATTTTAGGTGACAGTTGTATTATGGGTTTTGTTTTGGAACTAGTTATTGTGAATGTGTTAAATGCCACTGACTTGTTTATTTTATGTTATGTGCATTCATCCGAATTTTTTTTAAATGTTCATTTACTTTATTTATTTATTCCTTTTTTTTTTTTATTTGGCCACGCCTTGGCTTGTGGGATCTTAGTTCCCTGACCAGGAACTGAACCTGTGCCCTCGGCAATAAAAGCGCAGAGTCCTAACCGTTGGACCTCCAGGGAATTCCCAAATTTTATTTTATTTTATTTTATTTCATTTATTTATTTATTTTTTTTGCGGTACGTGGGCCTCTCACTGTTGTGGCCTCTCCCGTTGCAGAGCACAGGCTCAGCGGCCATGGCTCATGGGCCCAGCCTCTCCGCGGCATGTGGGATCTTCCCAGACCAGGGCACGAACCCGTGTCCCCTGCATCAGCAGGCGGACTCCCAACCACTGGGCCACCAGGGAAGCCCTATTTTATTTTTTTTTAAGTGAGGGACTTGAACCAGCCTTGACCCTTTCAGGATCATTCTTTTGTGATGCACAAAAAGTCCATTTCTAAGGATGCCGTTGAAATTCTGATTTGGGTGGTGGTAGATATTTATTCCAGGCATTTGTTGAAGAAGGGGAAGGAGGACTTCTTCAGGACCATCTTGATGGGGGCAGGGACAACTACCTGGGGTCTTGCAGCGGTGGGGGAGGGAGCAGAGATTGGGCTCAACTGTGAATATAAGGAAAGGTGGGAATGTATAGCCAAGGAGCAGATCAGGGTCAGTGGATGGAAGATTACTAAGAGGAAACATCAGGGGAAAGGAGAGATTTTTGCTAAACTGACCTACCTGAACTTGCCGAAGGCAGGCCAGGGGGCTCAGACATCACCCCAGGGTGGTGGAGGATGGGGAACCTCATCAGATATTGAAGGTGACCAGACACGGAGGATGGGGGTTCTGGCTAAACTGACTTAGCAGGATTCTTGCTAGAAGTGGACACAGAAGCAGGACACAGAAGCCCAGGGTTCGAGACCTAGTCAGAAGAGGGCTCAGGTCAGCCCGATTAGATCAAAGAGAGAGTCTTTCTCCTTGTCACTAAATTATTCGGAGTCCAGTAATGTCAGCCTCATGGAACCATTCAGAGGCTCCTTCCCTCTTCTTTCAGGGGTGAGGGGTGGCCGCCAGTGCTTTGGTGGCATTATTTGGAGGGACTTGTCTTGTCTCAAAAGTAGTGTCACCTTGTGGGGGCCCTAAATGCCGATCTTTGGTCACTGTTATTTTCTTTTCATTTCTCTGTATTTCCCCCCATAGTTATGCAATATGTGTGAGGTTTGTTTTTTTTTAAGAATGTGTGTGTATGTGTGTGTGTGTGTGTGTGTGTGTGTGTGTGTGTATAACTGAAGCACTTTGCTGCGTGGAGTTTTTATCGAAGTATAAATATATACAGGAAAGCACACAGATCATAAACTACGAATTTATGCACTAACACACCTGCATTAATAAAAGAGCACATCCTAGAGACCCCTGGTGCGCCCTCCCAGCCACTCGCCGCCCCGCACAGGATAACCACTCATGCAGTGTATTTTTATATTTGGGAAGAAATACTTAAAATTTAAACAAAGTGAAAATACATTAGAGATGGAAAAATTTTAAATCCAGCCCTTTTTATTTGTGAAGGCTCTTCCAAATGGCTCAGACGTGGTAAGGGCTGAGGGCTCTAAGTGGGTTTGGCCTCGGGATATTCCTAAAGGACAGCAGGAGGTAGCTGGCAATAGCCACGGGATCAGCTGATGGACCCATCTCCTTTCTGGGTCATTTGGCACCTGGGCTCCCAAACTAGCCAGCACATTGGAACCCCCTGTTGGAGCTTCAGTACTACAGATACCTGGGTCCCACCCCCAGAGATTGTGATTTAACTGGTCTGGAGTGTGGCCCGAGCTTCAGAGTTTTTCAAAGCTCTGAAGTGATTCTAATATGCAGACAGGGCTTCCCTGGCAGTCCAGCAGTTAAGACTCTGTGCTTCCAATACAGGGAACGCAGGTTTGATCCCTGGTCGGGGATCCCACATCCTGTGCAGCGAGGCCAAAAAATTTAAAAATTAGAAATAGATAAAAAAATATGCAGACAAATGTGGGAACTACTGACTTAGCATAAAAGGAAGATCTGAAGCCTGTTTTCCAAGCAGGCAGGCAAACTCAAAGGCCTCCCAGAGATTCTGTAACTGCCACAAAAAACTTTCTTATTCAAGAGCATCATGAATTGTCATGGTCCCACTGACTATTTCACGTCTGGAAATGAGTCAGGCATAGTACAGAAATGACACATACTATTACAGCCTCTCCCCACATCCTCCCAGACACTGGCTTGGGAATGTGGGAATAGCGACAAAGCTGGCTACCACCCAGGCTCCAGGAAGAGGGGGGGAGGGGAGGCTCTGCAGTTATTACAGTCACTCCCACTAGGTGTGTCAAAGCAGATGCTCTTGTGAATTAAAAAAAACTCAATTAAATCTTATTTCCCTGTTGGACAGTAATACAATTTTGAAAATGCTCTTTCTTAATATCGAATTGGTATTTAATTACCGGGGGGATTCGACCTTCCCTGAAAGGCAGATGCAGTTACCTTCCCACCATGAGGACTCTCACCCTGAGGGTCAGCCTTGGAAGTTCCTGCCCCCTCCACCTCATCACACTGTACCTTCGTGATATAGGTCAGATTTCTAAGAACCTGTGTTTCTATGGTGGTTGTTTGGAATAGTGGTTTAAAATTTACGGAAGGGGCTTCCCTGGTGGCGCAGTGGTTGAGAGTCCGCCTGCCGATGCAGGGGACACGGGTTTGTGCCCCGGTCTGGGAAGATCCCACGTGCCACGGAGCGGTTAGGCCCGTGAGCCATGGCCGCTGAGCCTGCGCGTCTGGAGCCTGTGCCCCGCAACGGGAGAGGCCACAACAGTGAGAGGCCCGCATACCGCAAAAAAAAATAAATAAATAAAATAAAATTTACGAAAGAATGGGAAAGGAGTGACAGGAGGAAGAAATGGGCAGGTGGGGGAGGACGGGGAGGGGGTGCGGGGGGAGCTGGAATGCTTTCATGTCAAGGGTTACCCAGCTTGTGAGCTGGTACTGTGCCTAGGCTAGAACTTGGGCTTGGAATGGTGTTTGACCTGTATCTTTCCACCAGCCCAGATATCCCACTTGTGCAAACCCTTCTTGGACAATCACTAGAAAGACAATTAAGTTTTCATCCAAGAAAGCACCATATGTTTCTTCAGAAACCTTTCAAGTACTTGACTCCCTAGGGAAGCGTTCTAATTATCCGTTTCCGAGTGAGAAATCACCCTAAGATGTAGTGGCTTGAAGCAATAATTTATTGGGTCCATCGTGGGTTGATTGGGCTCAGCCAGGTGGTTCTCACTTGGGGACTCATGTGATTACAATGTCAGTGGGCTGAACATCTGAGATGGGTCCCTCCCGTGGGACCATTGAGGCAGGCTGTCAGCTGGTTCAGCTGGGGCTGTCAGCCAGAGTGCCTGTGTGGACTCTCCATGTGACATGGCAGCTAGGTTCCCAGAGGGAATGTCTCAAGAGCATCATTCCAGGACACCCAGCGGAAGCTGTGTGGCTTCTCATGCCCTGGTTTTGGAAGTCCCAGGCCATCACTTGTGCCACATTCTACAGCTCAAGCAAGTCACTAAGGCCAGCCCAGATTCCAGGGAATGGAACCAGGGTCCTTCCCCCATGGTCGGGGAGGAGGGACTGATGGAAGCCATATTTAGGGGCTCTCAGTTACTTACCTTAGGAATTGAGAATTGGGACAAATTTAGGGAACTGCTTCACCCTTAAGGAAACTAGTTTGTAGCTTAAGAACAAGATTCCTTCAAATATATTTTCAGGAACCCCAGCGCCGTGTTGATCAACGCCCCAGCTTCCTTGGGTCTCCTTGCTTTAACTGAAACCAGCTACCCTGCCTGACGGCGTTCATCCTTAAGCCTTCTCTCTACCCCCGGAAGCTGCTGCTTTTCCACTTCCTTCTTAATACAAGTGCTAACATTCATCACGCTCTTATTTTGTGCCAGACACTGTGCTGAGCAATGCATGCACTTAGCCCGTTTCATTAGGAAGACTTGTCTTGTTGAAGTGCCCATTAAGAAAAGGTTGATTGTTTGTTTGTTTCCAGTAACCACCGCCAGCTGTGCTCTGTCCAAACCCCCTTTGTTACTGGCTGAAAGACTCCCCATTAAGGCACCTCGATCTGATTCCACTGATCCAGTCACTTTTTTTTTGTTATTAAGGCAGCCCCACTTGGGAGTTTAAGACTGGTCCATTTAGGAACTCAAACTTGGGAATTCCCTGGTGGTCCAGTGGTTAGGACCCAGCACTTTCACTACAGGGGCCCCGGGTTTGATTACCTGGTCCCGCAAGCCGTGGGCATGGCCAAAAAAAAAAAAAAGAAGGAAAGAAAGTGAAACTTATCTCGAGCACAGGCTCCAGCACTGAAGCAGGGACAAGGCCTGTCTCTCACAAGCCGCCCACTGCTCTGTACTTACTTCTGAGGTTGAGGCGGAGGGGAGAGAAATAGAAAACAGATGTGTTTCCTGTGGTGACTAGTTGGGGGCGGTGATGTGGCTGTCCTGCGCCCTGGGTCTTTACTGATGACCCAACTCATTCTCTAGAGCAGGGTTTCTCATCCTCAGAACTGTTGACACTGGGGGCTGGATTCTCCTCTGTTGTGGGGACCCGTCCTGTGCATTGTTTAGCAATATCCCCGGCCTCCGCCCACTGGATGCCAGTAGTACTTCCCAAGTTGCGCAACCAAAAATGTCTCTAGTCATTGCCAGTGTCCCCTGGGAGCAACCTTGCCCTGGCCGAGAACCAGTGCTCCTTAGACTTGGTGTGGACAAGCGGGCGCCCCACAGGACTGCCAGCAGAGACTCTCTCCCAAGGGGCTCCCCTGGTTACACATTCTTGCTGACCTTTGGAGGTGGCCTCATGCCATATTTATTGCTCTGAGGAGGTTCCCCAATCCCAAATCCCAGAATCTGCAATTCCATCCACACTCTGGATCTGACTCTGGGGCTGTGGGGTTGCACCCATCTTCTGAGGGGATGGGTGGATCCAGTCCTTTGCCTCCTGGCTGACTGCCCACCATGCCAGCTCCTCTGGGCACTGTCCAAACTGCAGGAGCCCCAGGGCAGATCCACCAGCCCACGGCCAAGTGGACAGCCAAGTGGGAGACAAGATGTTCCTCTCTACTGTCCCACACACTTTACAGTGACTCCACTGTGTCCCCAACCCCCCCCCCACCTGGTTTCAAGAAAAGCCAGTCTTCATGAAGAAGCAGCCTCTCACCCTTCCTCTCTCCCTTTTTCTTGAGGCAGGATGCCATGACACCAACTACCCATAGTTGGGCCAAACTTCACAGGTTAAGACCACCATCCTCCACAAGACTGTCCAGACACCAGCAGCAAGTTTGCGGGTCCCCTGGCCACACTCACTTTTGACCAGCTGGCTACAAATTCGGGGGTTCCCACTACCCCCTCAGGTTCAATAATTCACTAGAATGACTCACAGAACTCAGGAAAGTGCTGTACTTGCTATTACAGTTTAATGATCGCAGAAGGATGCAAATCTGAACCAGCCACAGGGAGAGACACCTAGGGTGAGGTCGTGGTGGGGGGAGGTACCAAACTTGAAGCTTCTGGCGTCCTCAGGGACACGTTACCCTGTTGGCAGAGCACTGCCAACCAAGGAAGCTCACCGAGCTTGGGTGTCTAGAGTTTTTATTGGGGTTTCATTATGTAGGCACAGTTGATTAAGTCATTGACCATTGATTGAACTCAATCTCTAGCTCCCCTTCCTTTCCCAGAGTTTGAGCTAATATCACGTGGTTTATCCTAAACTATCAGATAGAATTGGAGGGGCCCACCATGAACAACTGACCCTCCTATCACTCAGGAAATTCCAAGGATTTAGAGGTGACCTCCCAGGGACCAGACAAAGGCCAGCCACATGCTGGATTACACACAGGATTGAAAGAGTCAGTGCTGCATGGCATCTCCCAGCCAGTTCCCGGCTGGTAGTTCTCTGAACATAGAATGTGGGGTGCATTTTAATTCTTGGCAGTAGGCTCCGGCAATTCTTGGAAAGCAGGAAAGATCCTGCCAGGCACCTCCCTCCACCTTGTCACACATGCATCATCTCATTTAGTCCTCACCACCACCCCCAGGCAGGTATTATTGTGATCACCGTTCCACAGATGAAGAAACGCAGGTACAGGTTGATGGACTCCCCCAGGTGAACCAGCAGAACAGGACTGAGTCCAGGTCTGTCTGACTCCAGAGCTGCCCCCTCATGGGCGACGGAGCCCTGCCTCCTGCCCCCCGACTGGTGTAGTCCTACCAGCTCCTCAGGCGGCCTCCAGAACACCTCTCTTCCTCCTGAAAAGCCCTCCCTGCTCTGACCCTCTGCTACCGGGCCCACCACTCTGAACACCCCCTCTGCTGTTGCCCACTCCTGACGTCTCTGTTCCCCGCTCACCATCTTCTTGGCTCCAAGTTCTGAGAACGCGTAAACGTTAGGTTCTGGGAGTTGGACGCCTGCCATAATCTCTCTCCGACCTAGAATGATCTTCATCCGCGTCTGACCTCAGCCCCGGCTCTCGCGGTCGCGGCCGGACCACCACCCCTTCTCCAATGCTAAAACCCACATGCCAGCCTGCCCTGCTTTCTCCCTCTTGTGGCCACACTGTCATTCAGGCTTGCCTCTAAACCTCTGGTCTTGAGCACCCCACCCTCTTCCTCCTCCAATCCGCTGTCCTGAGGCTGTGGGGAAGGAGAGGAGGGGCAGTGCTTCGAGTGGGGACCACACGCAGCTCCGTGATGCTGCTGGGACTCTGCGAAGCCCGTTTCTCCTCTGCGGCCGCTCCCTTCCAGCCTCTGCCGCCAGGGGCGCTAGTGGGGCCCGCACGGCTGGAAGGGGAGAAAGGGCCGCTGCTTCCTGTCTGCTCTGCTTGGTCACCCGAGCATCACCCTGGCAATGGTGACATCTGGCTCCAGGCTCCAGTGTCCCTGCGCTCCCAGAACCTGCCTCTGTGCCTCTCAGAGGTACCGCACCAGCTGGGCAGTGCCTCCTCGCCGGAGATCCGAGTGCCAGCTCCGTGGGACCCCTCCACCAGGCTTCTAGAATCCCATAATCCCAACCTGTCCTCTTGGTTCCCCATTCATGGGGGTGGGGTAGCTGCTTCCTGTGGTCTCCCAGTGTCGGCTTTCTGCCGCTTCTATCTTGCAATACCCATTTAACCAATTCTCTATATTAAATTCTTTGTTAAAATAATGAATGTGTTGGGGATTCCCTGGCGTTCCAGTGGTTAGGCCTCTGTGCTTTTGCTGTGGAGGGTGAGGGTTCAATGCCTGGTCAGGGAACTAAGATCCCGCAAGCTGCTAGGCGCGGCCAAAAAAAAAAAAGAAAGAAAGAACGTGGTTTGTTTTCCTTGTTGCCCCTGATCTAATAAATACATATAAACATTTCCAATCTCCCTTCACCTAATAGCTCATAAGTGCCAGACCTTGTTCTGTTTGACATGTATTAACTCATTATTATTATCCCCACTTTACAGGGGAGAAAACTGAGGCACAGGGAGACATAATTGTTTGCTCGGGATCACACAGCTGTTAAGAGTGGGCTCCAAGAGCCTGGCTCCCGAGATAACACTCATCTACACACGCTGCGGCGTCTCACTGCCGACAGTGAGTTGGCGTAGCTGGGGCATTAAGTGACCACATAATGTTCCCGTTTATGGATGGACGAGAGCTATTTTTGGATATTTGTATTATGTGGGGGTTTTAGCTATTAGAGAGCCTGGATCCCCTTGAACCTGACACAGTTAGGTCACTTGAGCCAGGAACCTTACAACTTTCTGAATTATTTTGGTCCATGATTTGTTGTAACCTGTCTCCTTAATGTTTAACCTTCTATCTTCTCAGCCCTGACTCCCCGTGGCCTTTTTCCTCCTTCCATGTCTTTCCCCTATGAGCCTGCCTTGCCAGTGTGCTGCTGTAAATCTGGAGATATGGGCGAGGAGACGTCTCCTGTTTGGCAGACTCTAGAAGGTACTAGGAGGCACTGTGGTCTCACCTTGAATCAGAGTCTTCAACGAGGTATGGGTATTGGTGATACCCTGAAATGCCTCCAAAGGCCTCCACCAAGAGTTCCTGAAAACCCCATGACAGAAGAGGTTCTGTCCTACTGAGACTCTATGCTGGATTCCATTTCAGACTTTCCTGCGGCCGGCAGGGCAGCTGCTCTCTACTACTGCCCTTGCTGAAGCTGGGAAGTGTCACTCCCAGCGCGCTCGGCTCTGTCTGCCCAGTATTTTGCCCTCGCCCCCAGCATGGTTTCTGGTGTCCTATGGAGAGAATCAGCTTAGAGATCCAAGTCGGTATTATTTTTAGAACTAAAGATCATTCAGTCTCAGCTTGCTTGGGCCTGCTTAGGCAACGAGAACAGGGAAAAGTCTCACATTTTTCCAAAGTTCATGTCGGAGTAGTGCAACATGGAAGCAACACTTCTGAATCATTGCCTAAAGTGTTCTCCTTTGTTGCAAAGACTGACCTTGTCTTCCAAATAATTCATTCCCTGGGGACAAGGCTGAGCCATTCTGAACACACCCCTCTTTGTCTTCTCTGCTCATTCTTGGACAATTCTTCGTGCCAAATCTGAACCTGTGCTTTCTCTTCTAGTTTTTAGAAGAGAGGAGATTATATTTCCATAATTCATGCGGAACCCGCAGCCCAGTTAGCAACAGGATTTTTTTTTTTTTTATAACTTGAAAACTGAAATTGGGTTGAATATGGAAATGTCAACTTGCACTGAGCAGAGCTGTCTTTGTTTTTGCAGGAAATGTCCAGCAGGTTTGGAGCCTCAAGGATCAGCCTGTTTTATAGAGAAACATTAAAACAACAACAACAAAAAAAAAAAACACTGGAACTGAGCAAGAGAAGTCTCACTTCAAACTGCAAAAAACACATTCTTTGCAAAATGAACAGAAGTGTCTTTCTACTCAGTCCAGACCCTGTACTGGTCAGAGTTCTCCAGAAAAGAAACAGAACCAACATGATATCTCTCTATTTAGAAAGCAAATGTTGAAGAGCTAAAAGGAAAAATAAAAAACTCCACAATCAGAGAACAAGCAGATGAAAAATAATTAAGGTAATAGAGAATTTGACTACAACTAACAAACGATCTAACCAACAGATGTAAAACACACACCCCCAAACTGTAGAACACATATTCTTTTCAGGTGCATATAGGGTATTTACCTACATAGATCACATGCCGGGCCACCAAGCGTGTCTCAACACATAGCAGAGGATTGAATTCACTTAGGGTGTGTTCTCTCACAAAGTGGAATTAAATTAGAAATCAATAATAGATCTCTAGAAATTTCCCAAAGTTTAGAAATCATGCAGCACACTTCTAACAATTCACAGGACAAAGAAGAAATCACAGTGAAAATTACAAAGATTCTCAGACATAAAAAACCATGTCGGGACTTCCCTGGTGGTCCGGTGGTTAAGACTCTGCGCTTCCACTACAGGGGCACGGGTTTAATCCCTGGTGGGGGAACTAAGATGCCGCATGGCGCGGCCAAAAAAACCAAAACAAAACAAAGCCATGTCATTTTCAGCAAATGGCAAACAGCTCAGAAAGCCACAGACCTAGGACGTGGCCTGGAGAAAGCAGGGAGATGGAGAGGGAGACTCAGGCCATATCAGGCTAAGGAGTTTGGGCTTATAAACCGTGGAAAGCCCTGGAGGCTTTTAACCAGGGGATCTGCTCTGTGGATGTAGTGGGTGGACTAGAGATACTGGAGGGAAAGAAGGACGGAACGTGAAAGAATGAGGCCAGTTGGGAGGCCCCTGCCTGAGATACGAGATCAATAGCTGTTCTCTGGGGCTTCCCTGGTGGCACAGTGGTTAAGAATCTGCCTGCCAATGCAGGGGACACGGGTTCGAGCCCTGGTCCGTGAAGATCCCACGTGCCGTAGAGCCACTAAGCCCGTGCGCTGCAACAACTGAGCCTGCGCTCTAGAGCCCGTGAGCCACAGCTACTGAGCCTACGAGCCGCAACTACTGAGGCCCGTGTGCCTACAGCCTGTGCTCCGCAACAAGAGAAGCCACTGCAATGAGAAGCCCATGCACCACAACGAAGAGTAGCCCCGGCTCGCTGCAACTAGAGAAAGCCCGCACGCAGCAACAAAGACCCAACGCAGGCAAAAATAAATAAATAAAAAAAAAAAAAAATTTTAAAAAAAAAAATAGCTGTTCTCTGTATCACTCGTTGGGTCCACAGATACGAGTAGAGCCCCTACCACGTGCCAGGCACCAGGAGGTCACTAGGGGTTCCTTCTCCCAGATACATTTTGTGAGCCATCCCAGCGCCACACAGATTGTTATACATAGGTCATAAAGTGGGAAAACTTCCAACAGTGTAATCTAAATGTTCATTTTTTATGAAGCTTCATGTTAAAACAGAGCATGGTTCTGTAGTTCTTTTTTTTTTTTCTGCGGTACGCGGGCTTCTCACCGCTGTGGCCTCTCCCGTTGCGGAGCACAGGCTCTGGACGCACAGGCTCAGCGGCCATGGCTCACGGGCCCAGCCTCTCCGCGGCATGCGGGATCCTCTCGGACCGGGGCACGAACCCGTGTTCCCTGCATCGGCAGGCGGACTCTCAACCACTGCGCCATCAGGGAAGCCCCGGTTCTGTAGTTCTTGATGCCAGGCTGAGATTAAATGCCTAGCCTGAGGGCGCTTCCCATGACATTCTGTGCCTAAATCCCAGCCTCCTCCCTCCATGCCTGAGCCAATCTGTGAGGGCAGCTGTTTCTCATAAGTAGCTCCCAAATGGTTATCCCAAATTCATCTTTTACGACCCTTCTTCCCTATCTTATCAGTGGAGAAATAAGGTAAGTTTGTAGGAACTTAGAAATTGAGGCTTGGGGAAGGTGAGTACTTCCAATCTTAAATTTTGTGATTTCTCATCAGAGAAATTGATTATTAATCATAGTGAGAGACCCACAGCAGGGTGAAGAAGGTGGGAGGACTTATTATTAAAAAACACAAAAGTTTTTTTTTTTTTAAATAAATTTATTTATTTATTTTCGGCTGTGTTGGGTCTTCGTTTCTGTGCGAGGGCTTTCTCTAGTTGCGGCGAGCGGGGTCCACTCTTCATCGCGGTGCGCGGGCCTCTCACTGTCGCAGCCTCTCCTATTGTGGAGCACAGGCTCCAGACGTGCAGGCTCAGTAGTTGTGGCTCACGGGTCTAGTTGCTCCGCGGCATGTGGGATCCTCCCAGACCAGGGCTCGAACCCTTGTCCCCTGCATTGGCAGGCAGATTCTCAACCACTGTGCCACCAGGGAAGCCCCCACAAAAGTTTTTAATAAGAGGGAGGCAAGGGTGTCAGAGTGGGTAAGGATATGTGAATGGAAGCAAAGATCAGAGAGAGAGAGAGAGATTTGAGGATGCTAGGCTGCTGGTTTTGAAGATGGAGGATGGGGACCACTAGCCAAGGAGAGAAGTGGCCTCTAGAGAGTGGTAAAGGCAAGGAAATGGATTCTCTTTCAGAACATCCGGAGGGAAATCAGCCTGCCAACCCCTTGATTTTAGGACTTTTGACCTCCAGAACTGAGATTGTGTAAGTTTGTGTTGTTTTAAACCACTTGGTGGTAATTTGTTGCCACAGCAAATGTGAAACAAATACAATTCTAACACACCACATAATTTACTCAGTTATTATGTTTATTTAAAAATTGCTCTCCCCCCTGCTAGATGTACCTCTCCAGGGTAGGAATTTTTGCCTTTTTTTTTTTTTCCTCTAAAGTATCCCAAACAGCTAAAACGGGCCTGGCAAACAGTAGGTGCTCAGTAAATGTTAATAGATGGATAAATGGATACATGCAGAAAGCGAGAGAAAGGAAAGAGTCAAGGATTCTCCTGAGACTTACTGACTGGGAACCTCACGTTATGTTTACTCACAGAGGGAATAGAGGAGCAGGTGCAGTTTGGAGAGAACTGAGAAAATGAAGATGGGTTTAGTTTGGGGTATATTAAGGTTTGAGGGGTTCTGTAGGATATATATACGGAAAAAATATATCTATATGGAAAATGTGAAGGGAAGTGGTTTCCTTTAGTTTTAGAAGGTAACGTGGCTTATGGCTGTGTCCATCGGCTGAACTTGTGTGCAGGTAAATAATTTGGTCTAAGCTATTTACCCCATAGTCCATTTGCTTTTTCCCTTTCCTTCTTTGTTTTCTTTCTTTCTTTTTCTCTTTCACCTGCTCTAGGAGAAGGGGGGTAGGTGCATCAGTAATTCTGGAGAGCCAGCTGGAATAGTGGGTCAGGCTGCTACAGGCCCTGGGGCAGTTCAGTTTCCAAATCCTGAAGCTGCAGGCTTCGGAGGCTTCGTGACACAAGGTCACAATCAATTGCTCCCTCAGGCCCAATGTCACAACACGCAGAGTCCTCAGAAGATGGAGAAGCAGGAGATCAGCTTCCCTCCCCAATCCTGAGGCCACTGATAACTAGTGACTCAAATGCTTCCCTGCCCTTTACTTTCTTCTTGGACCTCATTCAACAGGTATTGATTGCGTGCCTCTGGAACCCATCTCACTGCCCTGGACACTGGGAAATACGAAGAGCTAAGTGACATACGATCTTGCCCTAGGAGGACTTACATCCTAGTCGGGAAGACAGATGTTCACAAAGCTAAATAAAAATAGAAGCAACTATACAGGGTGCCACGCACGGTACCGCCCAGCGGGCGAGGGCGGCTTACTGTGGCTGAAGTATCTAGAAAGACTCAGTGGAGCAGGTGTCACGTGGGTGGGTCTTTAAGGGACTGGAGCACATGGAAGGGGAGGAATAAAGGCTTTTCTGATTGAGAGCAAAGACTGGCAGGAGTGCCTTGACTCGTTCAGAGAGGCTTTTGCCTTATGTGCGGATGCAAGTTTGGAGTTTGTTTGGGGAATAAAGATCAGGCTCAGGAGTGCACCACCTTTTGGGCATTTTAGTATCCCAGGCAACCACCCGGAAATAACCCCGCCCTCCACTTTTCAAAGCAATCCCAGCCTAGCGCGGCGCATGCGCCTCGCAGAGCTCTAGCGCTGTGTTATCATGGAGGCGCAGAGCTAGATCGTCAGTCACCTCGGAGGCTGACATTTTGGATCCTGGCGGAAAAGTTGGAAAGGCTGGCACCACTACCAAGTCAGGCTGCATCACCCAAGAAGATGAGAGCGAAAGAACTCCCGTGGAGCGACAAGATCAGGTGGCGGAGTGAATCCGTGATGCTTCCCTCGGAAAACAAGCTTGTAGAGAGTTGCCCACCGCCCTGCCCTCATCTGAGATGGTGACTGTGCGGGTGCTCTAGCCGCGCCTTTTCGATTCCCGGAGGGGGCGGTGCCGTCGTCACTGGCTTTGAGGTGGCTGCGGCGCAGGTCGCAGCGAGCTCTGGTTGCTCCAGAGCCCTTAGTAGCCCTTTGTACGAGGAGGGTGGGGGTCTCTGACCTCTTCCCTCCTGTGCCGGGTTTCTCGGTTCCTCCCCTACGCGGGCCTACCGCTCCCCCGTGCAGCCCCGCCGCGGGCCGACTGTAACTGCGCCCCCGGGCCGGACGATGCCCAAGAAGCTGCTGCTGCTGCCCCCGCTCTCCGTGTCCTCCGCTTTCCGCGCCCCGCGAGCCTGCCCCGCCGCCCGCCCGGCCATGAACGCCGCCCGCACCGGCTACCGAGTCTTCTCGGCCAATTCCACGGCTGCCTGCACCGAGCTGGCCAAGCGCATCACCGAGTAAGGGGCGGGAGCCGGGGATGTCCCGAGGGGCCCCTCCCGGGAGACGGTCCTTGTTGCTCTTCGCCTCCACGTACCCCGACCCGGGCGAGGGGTAATTTGACCCCATCGTCCTGCCCCTGGGGGAGGGAGTCGCAGAATCCTGCCGTTTCAGGTCTGGACAAACCCTTGGAGGTGACAGAGGATCACCCCCCCACCCCCAGTTCTGCAGCTGAAAAGCGTTCGTCTGACTCTTGCTGGCTTCTCCCCACCTCCGGGTCCTTGGACCGCTCGCCCTGCTTTCGGCTCCGCACTCCCACCTCCCAGGCGGTGGTGAGGATTCTGTAATCGCTGGATTAGCGCGCCTTGGAGAGAGGGGCTCTGGGTTTGGCTCCCTTTCCCACGGTTGGGTTTGACCTCTGAAGCTGGTCATTGCCATTCCCAAGTCTCCCCGAGGAGACGGAGGCCCGCACGTAGTTACAACACTGGGGATGGACGGGGCGGATGCAGTAGGTGGGGGCGGCCGGAGGGCCTTGCAGGTGGAAGACCCGCGAGGCTCAAGGTGCACCGACAGAAGTAGAGGTGTAGGGGAGGGCAGGGAGAACAGGGCAACCCTAGGGGAGCAGGTTTGTCGGAGTTGGTGATAGAAACCGTGGTCTAACCGTATTTTGTAAGTCAGTTAGATTAGATCAGTCTAAGTCTTTGCCTTTCCTTGTCTTTTTCACCTAAGGAAGCCTCTGGCCTCAAGTGGCCTTTGGGGTCTGAAGGCCTTGTCAGCCTTGCCCTGGGCAAGAGACTTGATTTTCCTGAACTTCATTGGTAAAATAGGGATAATTCCGTCTGTTGGACCCAGAACATTGTGAGCGCGAACAAAATAATGTAGATCAAGCATCTAGCAGAGCAGAGGCTCATAGTGGCCCTCTGAATAATACATGTTTACTAAATGGCCTCTTTTCTAGTTGGCTCTTGTGAAGAATCCCAGAACCCTAGTGTAAAGGAAGAGCCTTTTGAGCCCTTTGCAGATAAACTCGTTATAAAATAAATAAGCTTGTCTTTTAACTTTTAAAGTCATTTTCACATTTTAAACAACTTACATTAGAGTTCTGTGGGTTTTTCAGAGTTGATAATTAATGGCATGAAGATATTTTAAAATTCTAGATGAAAATGTAGAAGAAAGGGGAAACTTTAGTCATATTTTCTCAGTAATGCCTATGTTATTTTCAGTT